AGGTCTTCATTCTCTTGGTTAAATGCATTCGAACAAATTCCTGGGCTGTATGGTAGACCTATGTTTAACTTTATACCAAACCATCTAGCTGTTTTCCTGCATGGTCATACCATTGCAGTCAGCAATAGCTGTTAATGTCAATCTATGTTTTCATGTACATCTAATTCTCCAGCTTGTTGATGCTGCAGAACACTCCATGATGTGTGTATGCAACACTTATTATTATTATTATTATTATTATTTTGTGTGTGGTACTGGGGATTTAACCCAGGGCTGCTCTACCACTCAGCTACATCCCCAGCCCTTTATTATTTTTGAGACAGGGTCTCACTAAGTTTCCTAGGCTGTCCTTGAACTTGCAATCCTCCTGCCTCAACCTCCTGAGTTGCTGGGATCAAAGGTGTGTGCTACCTTACCCAACTGCATCCATCACAATTTATCTTCCAATTTGCAGATGAAATCTAGGTCATCTTCAATTCCCTGACACTATGAACTTTGCTTTAACAGACATTAAAAAATTACATATATACACACACACACACACACACTGATCTATATTCCTACCACTTTTTGTTTTTTATTTTGAGACACGGTCTCACTAACTTGCCCATGCTGACCTTGAATTTGTAATCCTCCTGCCTCGACCTCCCAAGTTGCTGGGTTGACAGGTTTGCCCCACAGCCCCCAACTTAACAGACACCTATAAGATGTCTAAATGTATAACATTTCCCTAGTGGACACATGGGGATTTCTTTGGTATATACACTCAAAGTGGAACTTTGAATCAGAATAAAATGCTCACCTAAATTGGACTAAGTGTCATTAGATTCTTCCCCAAAGGCTACCTCCCTCTCAGAGGAAGATCCTGGTGTCTGACACAATCATCATGTTTAGATTCTTTTTAAAGAAGAATACAGAATTAGGTACAAAAGTGAATAATGTATTTAGGAAAAAATGAGAATTCACGAGGTATTACTGGGCTCTCCCTAGGTAGTCTCCCTGAACTGCTTTCTTGCTAGAGGCTCCTGGCTGCAATCTGGTTCCTCTCCCTACTTAGAGCATTCTTAAACTCCCAGCCACGGAGGAGCCCTGAACCCTCATGAGAGTCACAGTCCATGCAGCTCTGATCCACACTCCACCAGCAGTGTCTGACTATTCTTAGATTAATGTCATTTGATGTTATGACCAAATATTTGACAGTTTTCACGTTTCTAAAGTGTGCCAGTCTAGATCATCCTGACACCTGAGTTTGTGTGATTCCTGAGTTAACAATGGTTTGTATATTTTTTAGTTTCTTTTAAAAAATTTATATATGACAGCAGAATGCATGACAATTCTTATGACACATATAGAGCACAATTTTTCATATCTCTGGTTGTATACAAAGTATACTCACACCAATTCGTGTCTTCATACATGTATCTGGATAATAATAATCATCACGTTCCACCATCATTTCTAACCCCATGCCCCCTCCCTTCCCCTCCCACCCCTCAGCCCTATCTAGAGTTCGTCTATTCCTTCCATGTTCCCTATCCCTACCCCACTATGAATCAGCCTCCTTATATCCAAGAAAACATTCAGCATTTGGTTATTTGGGATTGGCTTACTTCACTTAGCATTATCTTCTCTAACTCCATCCATTTACCTGCAAATGCCATGATTTTATTCTCTTTTATCACTGAGTAATATTCCATTGTGTATGGTTTGTACATTTTTAAGTAGTTGAAAAACCTAAGAATAATAATAGTTAGTGATATGCATAAATTATATGAAATTCAAATTTCACTATTACTCAAGTTTTATTGGGATTAATTCTCAGCCTTTTGTTTATACACCGTCTACAGCTGCTTTGGTGCCACCACTGCACAGGTGAGTAGCTGAGACAGACAATATGGTCTGCAAACCCTGAAGCATGTCATCCGCCCTTGACAAAAAAAAAAAATCTGACGATCTTCAGTCTACAGCATTAATTTTTCTTGGAGACATAAATCTTGCCGCAGTCTGGCTGCAGCAAAATAACCCGGGGGGGGGGGTGACGAACAACTTGTGTACGTTGATACAGCAGGAGTGGAAACCGTTTATTGTAGGACAGGAGCGGTATTTATACATTCCACACAGCTTATCTAATTAACATAAACTAGATACATCAGTCAACCAATCAGGAATCTCCACACTTAATGGCTTGCTTTTGTTACTTCTCAAACCACTCCCTCTGGCATTTTGCCAGGCACCATCCAGACTTATTTACAGACTCTAACATTTCCCTGGCAAAATGCCAGGCGCCATCCTGACTTGTTTACAACTCTAACATTTCCCCCTTTTGTTTAATTTAAATAACGACCATAGTGGTTTTTACAGAAACGCCATAAATAACCTGCTACAAACAGAAAGGGAGGATACAAAATGCCACAATACCAAGCCAATTGATGGCTCCATGCAAGAAGCCCTTGGAAAAATTATACCAGCAATGACATGGTTTGCAAAGATACCGAGTTACAATTTGTTGTAGATTACAGTTTGTTGTCTCAGTCCAGGTAAAGCAGTGTCTCAATAGATTAACTCACAGTCCAGGTAAATCACAGTCCAGGTAAGTTCTGCAGGCAGCTAGCTTAAATCATAGTCCAGGTAATTTCTGCAGGCAGCTAGCTTGATCTGAAGTCTCGTCCGGTTCTCAACAACACTGGAAATTCTTCCACCTTCGTCTTCACTGGCACTGGGATGAAAGTAGGAACTCTGGATGGCTAAAGAAAATCCTGTAGCATTCCACTAAGAAAACAACCTTCTGAACAATTTAGTAGTTATTGACATTGGAAATGATCAAACTTCAGGGTCCCGGGCCCTCTTCCACCGGCTGTAGCATCCTGGGCAGCCCCAGATGGCCCTGGGGAGTGTCCTGGACTCAAACTGCTTCCAGGCACAGGTTTGGATTTGGGCTCTTGCAGTGGCGTCCCTCTCCCCAGGCGGGGGGCAGGGAAGAGCCAGTTGCCACCGCTTGGAAAGCCCTTGCTGCGCCATGACCAGCTCGCGCACGTGGCAGCCGCCACGTGGATTCACGCACCCTCCGGTAACGAAAAGTATTCAGTAATAGCCTTCTGCTGCAACTTTTTTCCTGATAATCCTTCCTCTTCTGAACTTTCTTTTTTCTGACTAGAGTTCCTGGGCTTCCATCAACACATGCCCTAACTATTCTTGGTTCCACTGGGGTGCCTTCTTCCCTTAGTAATTTACTTCTCATCCCTTCCATATTTTCGTCACAAAGACAATACAACATTTCAAGACAAAACAAGACACAAACATACTGTATCAATCTTTTCCATTTTCTCGAAATGGCCATTTTTCCTCTCGCCCTATCTGCCTAGGGATGAGCAGATTTGCTCCCGTCCTATCTATGGACGGGCAGCTTTTTTCGTCACTTACCCCCGAGGGTCCCGGGGCTCCCCGTAACGGGCCACCATCTGCCGGAATATGGCTGGCTGGGCAAAATAACGGGGGGGGGGGTGACGAATAACTTGTGTACGTTGATACAGCAGGAGTAGGAGCCGTTTATTGCAGGACAGGAGCAGTATTTATACATTCCACACAGCTTATCTAATTAGCATAAACTAGATACATCAGTCAACCAATAAGGAATCTCCACACTTAATGGCTCGCTTTTGTTACTTCTCAAACCACTCCCTCTGGCATTTTGCCAGGCACCATCCAGACTTGTTTACGAACTCTAACATTCCCCTGGCAAAATGCCAGGTGTTATTTTGACTTGTTTACAGACTCTAACATAAAATAGTGATCCTTTACTGTCACTAGGTGTCAGCAGGTAGCAGGGGTTTGGCTGGCTTGCTCTTTGAGGCTGGCTTGGCCAGGGCAGCTCTCTCTCTTTGTGTCAATCTGTGGGCCATTGGAGAGGCTCTGCCCCATGCATCCTCTTCAGACACGGGCTTCTCTCACATTGACCGCAGAGGCACAGAAGGGCTACTGAGAACATCACTTGTTAGCGGCTGGGCTCAGAACTACTGTCCCTTGGGCCCTCTGGTGGGCAAAGCAGGTCATTTGCAAAGACTCTAGTAAAAGGATAGTGAAATACATTCCTCCCGGGTGTGGATTCAAGCATGACTGAAGAATTGGGGTCAACACTGCAATCCACTGTACGTGGATTTAGAAATGTGGTGGTTGTCATGTTGTTTTCTTTGCCATCAGGAGGATGCTACCTGTTCCTATTAAACATGCTCTGTTAAAGGCAAGGCTGTGGCTTTCTTGTTCATTGCATTCTGTGAATGCTGACAGTCTCTTTTCCATTGGTGACAGCCCCAGAGCTATCAAGGTACTTTCTTTTGCTTCTGTCCTTCCTTTTATATCCTTACAATGAGCCACCAACATATGGGACAGCTAAAGATGTCGGCTTTACTGAAAAGAACCCAAGGCACACAGAAGTCTCACTTCTTTTCAGTCTTACTTGGTGTTTCTCTCTTCATTAATCAGAATTAATTAATAATGAAAATATTTGGGCCAGGAGCCGTGGTGCACGCTTGTAATCCCAGCAGCTCTAGAGCCTGAGGCAGGAGGATCGTGAGTTCAAAGTCAGCCTCAGCAAAAGTGAGGCTCTAAGCAACTCAGTAAGACCCTGTCTCTAAATAAAATACAAAACAGGGCTGGGGATGTGGCTCAGTGTTCGAGTGGCCCTGAGTTTAATCCCTGGTACCCAAAAGAACAAAACCATTTGTGCCCTTCTCATTCTTCTGAGCTGTATTATAAAACTCTTCAGAGGCTAAGTTGCTCTCTCGTTTACCTCCCTGCCCTCTCTCCTGGCCTGCCCACCGAGTGTGATTGATCGCTTGCCTGGCCGTTTGGTCTCTAATGACTGTTCCTTTTTTTGGTTCACTGATCATGGATCTGCCACACTCTTCAGGGCAATAAATACCAGCCTGGACTGCCCAGAATGGAGACTTCTGCTTGCTCTGCCAGTCTAGAAGCTTCTATCCCTTCTGCAGCTCCTGCCACTCATGCAGCTCCTCTTCCTGTTTCTGACTGTCATGGTGCTCCTGGCCCAGGGCGCCCGAGGTAACTAGGCTCTCTCCCAGGGGGTGTGTGTCGGGGGACCTGATGCATATTCAGGGAACCTTGGGGGCTCTGACAGCTGAGGCCCGGAGCATGGTCTAGCAGGCTCCGAGGAGGCTGTTGGACAGTCTCTTTAGTTAAGGGAAGTTTTCGTTCTTTGGCACCAAATAATTTTTCCATCTTTCATTATTTGACCTCTCTGACCACCTTTCTCTGATTGGCTCTGAATAAGTTGAACTTGATGACCCAGGGATATGGTTGGGGTCAAAGAGAGAGACGTAGGTATGGGGTATAGAGAACATGGTGCTTTCCCAAAGCATTCTTTCAGAGGATCTGAATTTTGATTTACTGTTGTCTCCATGAACAACATTCTAAGTTGTTGTCTCCTAAATTCTAAGTATTTGAAGATTCTGATTCTACTTTTTCATGCAGGTCCAAATTGTCCAGGCTACTTTAGGTTGTTGGTTTCTCCCAAAAGTGGTTCCTAATTCTCTTGACTGGTTAAGGCCAGTGAGAAGTCCCAGGATGTTGTAGAGAAGGGAGTGAGAAATTCTCGGGAGTTTTATGGATGTCAGAGAGGACTTATATTTGTTCCACTGGGTTCGTCTCAGATTCCTGTTCCTTTTCATTAGTACAACCAGCGGAGGTGCCAAAGGGCAGAGGGTGAATGTGGCTATTTGATATTAGGTAACTGGGAATCGTATAATACGGGGGAGATAAAACCCTGGAGAAAAGAGGTCCTCTTGCCTCTCCCAAGTGAGCTGTTCAAGGAGGGGAAGCTGCCTAGTAGATTTCACGTTACTGAGTGGAAAGGGATTGGAGAGGACAGAGTGGAGAAGGGACGGACCGGGATCTATGATCTCACTTAAACCTTGGGATTTTCATATGGGCTTCTACCCCACAGATCTTATTTCTCTTGTTACAGGGGACAGATGAGGAAAAACACCATGAACATGAATCAGGTTTATTTGGCTGTAGCTAGGTTCAGAGGGCAAAGCTTTCGCTGTAATCAATAAATCCCCCCAAACCCCGAGATCAGGCAGTTTTAGAACTTTATACCCGGCTTGTAGGTGGAGGGGCTCAGAAGTTCACAGTCTGCAGAAGTTCACACAAAAGCAGCTTTTTCTTTCGCTATTCTGGGCAAGTTAACCCTTCAAGGACAGCGCTGGAGAGGGAGAGAGCTTCTTCTCCCCTTTCTTCCCTCCCACTGCCAGCTGTTACCACGGAGCCCAATTGGCAACCTCTTCTCCTCTTTGAAATGTAAACATCTCTGAAGCTCAGGTCCAAGGTCAGAGACCTAGTTAAAAGAATCTGTTTTTCCTATCACTCTCTGCATTTGCAAACACACTTCTGCAAACTACTACACTAGGAAAGGGGCCTTCAGCACCTGGGTGCTGATCTCTTCCAGGATGGCGGCCAAGTAAGACAGAGCGACAGGAAATAGGAAGTTTAACTACACTGAACTCTTTTGTAGAGACTCTTGGCTGATAGTCCGAAGATCAGTTATAGTGAAGGTTTTTGGAGAAGCTCAGAGAAGATTTTCTGCAGAGGAGCGGGTGCCGCTACACCCTCAGTGCTCTTTCCTGTCCTGGAATTTACCTTCTCCCTCTCCAACCCTTTGCTTTCTTCAGGACTAACCCTGCTCCCTCTTTCCCTTTGGCTTTCAGTCAAGAAGTGTTGGAGCACATTTGGCAGGTGCAGAGAGAACTGTAAAGAGAATGAAGTATTCTATCTATTGTGCAAAGAAGAGGGTAAGTGCTGTGTGGACCCTAAGTATGTCCGATTTAAACCGAAGACCTTAAAGAACCAGTTGGGAACCAAAAATTAACTTCTGCAGACTGACTCTCTTCCGACCTTGAGTCTCAGGAGCATTGGAAACCACAGTTCTATTAAATCATTCATGGCTGTTCCCTGTTTCTGACTGACAGTTCCATCTAGTTCAACTTGGAGACAGAGAAGGAAAATGTGTGCATGTGTGTGTATGTGTGTGTTGGGAAGAACAGGATGAAGCAGTACGTGGTAATAGCCTTATCCTTTGGCAATAATTCCCAACCTGCCAGCCCCTAGTTGGTCCACAGGATATTAATAAGGAATATTTATCATATTCATTTAATTCTTTTTTTTCTTCTAGACTAACACCCATAGAACCTTCTAAATGATGAAAATGTCCCAGGTTTGGTTGTCCAATATGATAGCTACTAGTCAGCTGCATGTAGCTACTGAGCACTTGAAATATGGTAGTATGACTGGGGGACTGAATTTTTAAGTTAATTTAATGTAATCTATGTTTAAATATATAGCTACATGTGGTTAGAGTCTAGAGACGTTAGGCTGAGGCAGGCTGTAGACCCCAATCCCTGGGTATTTCAGGGGAGTCAAAGAGGCAAGCAAGAATCCAGGGTGAACACAGAACTAATTTAAAAAAATATTTATTTTTTTAGCTATAGGTGGACACAATATCTTCATTTTATTTTTATGTGGTGCTGAGGATCGAGCCCAGTGCCTCCCGCATGGTAGGCAGGCGCTCTACCTCTGAGCCCCAGCCCCAGCCCCAGAACTCATTCTTGGCCCACTGCTTCTCTCTGCTTCTCCAACAACGGCCTCACTTTTCTCCTGATCATATGGGCAATTCTGCCCTCCAGGGACTCCAAAATCACGCCTCTGACACATCTCCTCACCTTGGAGGGAGCTGGGACCAGGTCCTGGGCTCCATCTTTTTTTTTTTTTTCCTCTAGCTGGGTCATCAGACACTGGACCAGGATTGATCCTGAACTGAAAAAAAAAAAAAATAAAACAGGGATTTGGCCACTTTTCACCCCATGATCTGGGTCATCATGGCCCCAGTATCTCCAACCTTTATCAGACCAACCAGAAAGAACAGGATTCCTCACTGTGGGCCAGGAAGTTTCATCCTGAACACCCCTCTCCTATCCACTAAATGACATCCTCAATCCCTTTTATTTTGAGACAGGGGCTTACTAAGTTGCTGAGGCTGGCCTCAAACTTGTGATCCTCCTGCTTTAGCCTCCGACTTGTTGGGATTTCAGGCAGGCACCACTGCATCCAGCTACCTACGGTTGTTGATAAATGCAAATTGAATCTAGGTTTATCCTTTCAGGCCCTGCCTAGCAGTTTTCTGCCTATAAAAAATTAAGATCCTCCTTCCTATTTTGCTTCCAACTCTTACTTTCCACAATCAATCCCTCTTAGAATTGAGCTGAGGGCCCTGACCCCACACTTTTCCTCTAATTATCTCACCCTCCTGACTCCATTTTGCCCCACCCGGCTTCCGGCTTCCATATCACAATCTGCTTTGTGGCCTCTCTCTCCCCTCGCTGCATGGTGTCAATCTCAAATTCCTAACCATGAAAGAATAGCCCCCCTTGCCTTCAAGTTGGGGGCCTCAACTCTGCCCGACCCGTCTCCTGCTTCTCCTTAAGCTTCATTTCTCACTCTCTGAAATGGCTATTCTATGATTTTCCCCTCTTCTCAATCTTCTATCACTCTCTCCCTCTAAAATATCACCAGAAGCAAATGCATATTCTCTTTACTAAGCCTATGCTCCCCTGCATCTGTCTGTAACTCCTGTCTCGCTTTTGTTTCCAACTGAAGAACGTCTATCCCGAGAAACAAGCCCACACCCCATCTCCCCTTCCTACTCCAGGACCTCTGTTGAACACTGACACTAAGAAAAGATCACCAACCCCAATGTTAAATCAAATTAAAGCAAGCTTGTATTTGTGTACACAAAGGCTGGCCAGCGACTGTCTCACCCGAAATCCCGGGCTAGAGATCAGTCCCCCAGCTTTCCAGGGACAGGGCTTTATAGCACAAAAAGTTGCAAAGGAGGGTGTCTTGAGAACTTACAGATAACAGGATTTTGACAAGCATAATATAAAGGCAGGTAGCAGGTTAATGATCTACATGGCTTGAATAGTTCAAGGTGGGGAGTAAATTCAGATCCCAACATCAGAATTTAGGAGGCACCGCTGAGGTTTCAGAGAAGGTTGTTTTCTGGTCAGGGGGAGCCAGGCATGGGTGAGTTCAAGGCACGGGCAGGAATTCCAAACAAGTTCAGAAATCACAGTAATTTATAGTAAAATAGAAATTAACTTTTCATGACTTTGTGATGAGATCTTAAAATGGAATTAGGCTGGGTCCACCACCTCACCTTCTATGATCCTCTTCATTTTTCTCTTCTGTGCCAGACCATTTCACCATACCAAAACAAAACAAAACAAAAACAAAACTAATACGCCCTCCTTTAAAACATCTCCCAATTCCACATTTTTCCCTGGACAGAGCCTCACTTCTTTGTAGACCTTCAAAGAAAACCTTAAAAGGTGTGTCTTTGCTTTATCCATTTTAAATTTCTCAATCATTTCTTCAGCTTGACCCAGCTGGGTTTCATGTGACACTGAAATTTCTTCCATGAAGCTTCCCAGCTGTCTCCGGCATTGCCAATCCCAGAAGGGTCCCTCGTTTTCCTCTAATTGATTCTGAGCAAGTGCTTGACGTGTGGACCACAATCTCCTCATTCAAATGCTTTCTTCTGTTGATTTTAAGGTACTACATCCTCCATTTTGATATGTGGCTATTGCTTTTCAGCCTTCCCTCCCAAATGCCAGGCCTGTTTATATGTCTTTTCTTTTCTCTGCCTACTCCTTTTTTTTTAGTAGATACCTCGAATACTCTCTATAGACCAATCACTTTCACATTCATATCTCCCCTGCCAAGCTATCACCCCTGGACGGGCGTATCTGCTCCCTGAATGACACCTCCATTTGGTGCCTCCTGACATACCCAGAACGGAACTCCCTGTGGGGACCTCACCTCATCAAGCCTTGTTACCTCCTTTCTTCTTCCCGTCTTGATGAGTGGTACCAACGCGGGCCCAGTTTCTCCAAACCTAGATGGCTTCCTGGACTCCTCGCTTGGGCTCACTGAATTCAATCTATCAGCAAGTCCGGCGGCTCCATCTTTAAAAGACTTCTCAAACATCGACTTCTTTACAACTAATTGACCCAGCGAAGGTTCGTCTGTCCTTTGGTAGCCATTCAAGAATTTATGGCAGCTCTACCCCATCCCGACGCCTGAGACTTTTGATGCTTTCCTCTTATTTTCTCCCATCCCCTAAGGCCCCTTGACTCTTTCTCTGTTTTTGTGCAAGCCTTGCTGTTTGGGGGCTTCTCTGTCCCTCACTAGCATCCCCTCTCCTCCTTTCCTATCCTGGCCTTCCCTGAGTTTTGCTGCTGTTCCCCTAATGTCCCTGCTAGGTGGTCCTTCTTTCTAGCCTTCAATCCTTTTGGAATTCAGCAACATTCCTGCAACATAGTTGACAATGAAACATCTTGACTTTTTTATTGCTTGTGACATTAGAGTTCATCAGGGACCAACCTAAGCAGAAAGGATATTTCTTAGAAGGATATGGTGTGCCTCATAGAATTGACTGGAAGTCTAGACGATTGGAAGAACTGAGGGAGAGTGGGCAGAAGTATTAGCCTGAAGAGGTCCTATAGCAAGCTTTGCCACCTTGGCCCTGGGCACGGGCATCATCCCACCTGGGCTGCTGTACTTTCCCAGTTCCCCTGAGATTTGGGTTGAGCTCTTTGAGACTCAGTCCTTGGCTGGAACATCCCGTTGGCTGAGCCAGGAGCACACACTTGTTTGCTAACTCCCCCCAGAGAGTATTCACCTTCAGAGCTCCCTGTGGTGGAGGGTCAGCCCTCTCTTCCACCAAGACCCACAGAACAGAGAGTAACTCCTAGATGGAATGAGGCCAAGTGTCCAAAGACACAGCATGTGACCACTAGAGGGAATGTCACCCAGAGCCTTCGCCTTCCTGCAGAGTGTTTTCCCTCCCACTTTGACCCTTCTGATTGCCAAGAGAGGGGGTGCCTGGGATGCCACACACAAATGAGGCACTCACTCTCAGGGTTGTGTCCTTAACTGTCACTCCTCAGGCAGTCTCACCTCCCCCTTATCCCGACCCTGCCAGCTGCATTCTGCATTTCTTGGCAGCACCCAGCCACCTGTACTTAATACCTGTCCAGGAGGGTGCAATGCTGAGCACCTCGCAGCTCCAGCTCCTCAGGAGGCTGAGGTGGGAGGATCACTGGAGCCCAGGAGTTGGAGACCAGACTGGGTCACATAGTGAGACCCCGTCTCCAATAAACAAAAGGGCAAATTTGCTCAGTGTCTGTCTTCCTGACAATCTTCATGAAGATGACTGATTTATTTTCTGTACTCAGAACAGCCTTGGTGCAAATATTGGTGTTCAATCAGTATTTGTTGAGTAATTGACTTAAGGAGATAAAAATCTGGCTTAAAATAGCAAAAATGATCTTATAAGAAAGTTCCTCTTTGTAGGTATACATTCCCATGGGAATAGTAAAAGTGTTTGATATGTAATAAATGCCAGAGCTACTAAAATACAGATTGAAATGAAAGGACAAGACAGTGGGGATGGGGTGAGGTGGGGGAGTGGGAGTCTTATCCATTGCTGCAAAGGTCGATGGTCACGAGTTAGTACTTCCATTGTTAATAAGGAGGCTAAAGGGCATGCTCTTGGGAATCAGGTGATGTCTTCTTTCACTGTCCGGTGGGGTTTTTTTTTTGGTATTGGGTTTGAACTCAGGCTTACTCGACCACTGAGCCACATCCTTAGCCCTGTTTTGTGTTTTATTTAAAGACAGGGTCTCACTGAGTTGCTTAGCACCTTGCTGTTGTAGAGGCTGGCTTTGAACTTGTGATCCTCCTTTCTCGGCCTCCTGAGCCGCTGGGATTACAGGTGTACGCCACCACACCTGGCTGTCTGGTATTCTTAAG